TTTTTTTTGTATCTGGTCTCAACCATAGACCAGGGGGGTCCGGCCCCATGAGCAAAAAATTCCGACCAGATTTTGGCAAAAAAAGTCAGTTTTGATTTCGTTCAAAAAATATAATATGTCCGTTTTGACGAAATGGCTGTTTGTAGGACTTCCCATCGAGAATGCGATACGCAATCTAACATGTCCGCGAAGTACGCAAAGGGTTTGATTCCGCGAACAACTGTATGTAACTTTTTTTTTTTTGTCAAACTCATGGATAACAACTTTGGATATCACTATGACAAAGTAGCTAAATGTTTTAGAGACATATTGATCGAAGATACTGGCTTGATTTTAGCCCCGTACCATAACATTCATGAAAAGCATTGGACACTTGTTGCAGTAGACCTTCAATGGAAAGTTATAGAGTACTACTATTCGATGGAACCTAACTCTGAGGTTGCAAAAAAGGTAGTCACTAACTTTGTGAGGTACGTGCACGATCGATCAACGCAACAAGGAAAACAAGTCAATATTAGACATTTCAAAAAGGTATTAGAGGTGGTTGGTATCCCGAAACCGAAGGACATTCATAAGTATGGAGTATATGTGCTAGGATACGCATCTCTTTTGGCAAGAGGTCGATTGTCACCATTTGAATTCGATATGCACGATATCCAATGCATTAGACATCGGATCACACTAGACTCAGTAACAACTAGAGAGGATGCGTAACATGTGACAGATTGCAGAGGAGATTGAAGGGGTTAAAAGGTGACAGTCATTGAATGATTCTGGTCACTTATGGCAGTTTACAAATGTACAATTTTATATAAAATATGAAATGCTTTGACTGACATATCGCAAATGCAGGGGCGAATCCCAAAAACTTGTACGTAGTCAGACAACATTAAGAGGTCTGCATATGTATGGTCTATGTGGAAAAAACAAAAGAGCAGAATGCAAAGAATGTATCATAAACACAATGATATCATACACACAAGCCACAAGAAATCACCAAGAATGTATTATATACCATAAGCATATGTATCAGACAACATTAAGAGGTCTGCATATGTACGGTCTATGTGGAAAAAACAAAAGAGCAGAATGCAAATAGGGAAGACCCCCAAGCTACAGGTTGTGTCCAAGCCATCTTTCCATCGTACGTCTTCAGGAGAGTGTGAGAGGAAGGAGCCACCTACGAGAGGGTTGCGAGGTCAATAGAGCGGGAGGTTGAAAGGGGGCTATCCTTTAAATACCTCCATTGGTACTTCACATATTGTGTGGATAAGCGAGCGCTATACGAAACTAGGGCCGACCGAATACCGGAAAGGATATCCTTGGACTCATATAGAGATCGTCGAGGAGGGAGGGATTACCCCTATCGGAGAGTTTTTGGGGTGTGGCAAAACGTGTTCTAGGATGAATGGCTTATTTTGACATGGACCTCGGGTGTTTCGTTAGGTCGGACTTAGCGAGACAAGAGACTCGTATCTTGGTCTCGGGGAGCGGAGAAGTTCCTGACTGGAGAGGGCTGGAAGGTGGAGAGGTCACTGTTGGAGGTCATTTTGTGTCGGTAGAGCCGACGGAGGCAAGAAAGAGAGGAGTAGCTCTGGAAGGGGCAAAATTCTATCTTAGGGTTACTTCAGTGATTTTCGTTGAGCCAGGCTCGTGAACTAAGATCGTGGTATCCCTGGTCTTAGGTCGGGGGGGTGGGTTGGATTCGCTGCTTGAAGAGGCCAAGGGAGTAAGGAGGGGGTGGATAGATAGGACCTTACGGGAAGTTGAGTTTGTGGCCGAAGAAAGGGAGAGGTTCGCCCGTGAGGGAGCCGACGGATCCAGTAACCATAAGGGCATCGTGCTTTGTACGCTTGGCAGGAAATGAGGAAGGGATATCGAGGCTCTTAGAGAGAGGGAGGAAGTTAGGGTTGCCCTTCAGAGCGTTGTGGTTACTCTACACCCATTATGTTAATCACAGAGTCCCTCCTCGACGCAAGCTTTAGGAGATATATAGGAGGCTTGGGTCTTTCGAAAAGGCCTTTTCGCTTACTCCAAAAGCGTATCACGAGTGGGTATTCAAGTTAGTGTGGTAGATGGTGAGGTTCACTCTTAGTAACGAAGGAACGGTTGAGTCGGTAGAGGCTAGTGGAGGAGAAGGGGTCTTGATTCCATGGGATCTGTGCGTGACCCCGTACTGGATGAGTATTGAGAGGGGAGGGGTAATCAAAGAGGGTGCTTACGTGTGGGTTAGGGCTCATCGATTGACTTGAAAGGAAGGAGTACAAAGAGGTGGTCCGCCGCATATCGGTAGGTTCCTCGAGATACATGCGACAGTCTTCTTAGACGATGACTCCTGGACCGAGGTTTGGAGGGGTTTGATGATCGGTCGAGAGGTACACACCAACTACCAAGAGTCCGCAAGGAAGGTGGCAAACGACCTGGTCATAGGGGATTACGAGGAAGGAACCTTCGAGTCTTGGACGTTGGTGTCCTTCGCTGAACCCGACGAGGTCCCCCACGCCTCAAAGGTCCTCCACTCAATGTTCCCAGACTTTTTGGCACAAACACTCTTGCGAGACTTGGAAGAAAGAGTCATAGAGGTACTTCGGTCCGCCCATCAATCAGGATTCCGGGCGGTAGGGTTACTCTGGCTCTACACCCGGTGTGTCGACGCTGGGGTGCCAACAAAAAGAGAACTAGTTGGGATTTTAGAGCGGCTAAGAGAATTCGCAGAAGTAAGGGTACACGTCGCCGACGTCCCCTACGCTCGCATATTCAAAGAGGATCAAGTGGCGGAAAAAAAACGATACGAGACTCGTGGTGGACCGTGACGAGCGAAGAATTAGCAGGGAGTGACCAGGAAGGCTCATACAGTGAGGAGGGAGAGAGCTAAGAAGAAAGTAGCAGCGATAAAGAGGATACCGACACTAGTGAGGAAGGCGAGTAGAAAGGAACGATAGGGCGCATGGAGAGCGATGTTGAACCTAAGCACACGCAATCGCCTAGGTTAACGGACGTTGCGAGTGTAAAAGAAGGGGTAGAACTAGGAATGAAGTTGAGTAGGAAAACTGGAGGGGTGGCAGAGCCGGTGGGCGTAAGAGGTAGGGATGAGAGGAGTGAGGATCGGCCTCTTGAAGAAATAGACGCCCCGACAAGACAAAAAATGGATACCAATTTGCATTTCATAAGGACTTGGAATCCAAGGTACCAACGTGAGGAAGAGTAGGGGAGGCCACGAGGGACATCCCCGTCGAAACTCGGTGGACTGATCAGGTGGATGCGGAAGAAGGGGAGCAAAGGGGGCCCGATAATGGCACACGATAGAGCAAGTGGCTGAGGGCCTCGGAGAAATGAGGAAAGAGGCCTAAGAGGAAGAGAGTTGCTCGAGGAGCGGAGTTGACCGGAAGTGCGCACCGATGGGCCGGTCGGGAAGTCGACTTTGCTTGGGCCTCTAATGAGATGATGAGTAGAAACGTTGACCGGGCAGGAGGAGCGTGTCGAGATGCAGGCCCCGCAAGATGGGAATGAGAAGAAGAGGGGAGAGAGAGGGCCTCGGGACGAGGGTCCTTGGGGACGGCTCCAAAGTCGGCCGGGCGCAGAGGAGATGGATTCACCTTGGTATAAGCCCTATGACCCAGTGATAGACAGACCAGCAGAAGGTCCGTATTTTCGTCGTTACGATGACAGACGCGTCCCTTATTACAACGTCAATTTGGGGGTAGAGACCCTTTATTTCACTGGGAGAAACATGATTGGATTCCTAGAGAAGTGGGAGAGTTATGCCTTCCGAAATAAGTTTTCTGAGAAGTGGATAAATCACTTTATCCAACACTCGGACCCGAAATTTGACCAAACCATTCGAGTAATAGACCCTTTTGATGGAAGGTGGAGAACCTTCAAAGCCAGCTTATTGAGAACCTTTGTTTGCG